CCCCCCCCCCCCCTCAAGAGCGCTCTGGATCCGTCTATGTAACGCAGCTGAGGGCAGATGGACCTGCCATAGTCATGCCCTGGCATGGGAACATCTCAGTAAAATCACTGATGTGGACGGTCTTGGAATTTCTCGGTATTTACACTCGAAAATTATTTTTTTCGAGAAATTTTTCATTTTGCAGTTCGTCATCAAAACTTTCGAAGGAAGATGAGGAAAGCTGTAATGAAAGTGATCGTGAGGATTCGTCGGTGGCTGAAGGCACACCAGTGGTGCGGCCGAAGAATTCGAAAAAAGGACCGTTTGATTTTGAGGGCACGCGTTGTTTTCAGGAGATCGATCACGAGCACACGGTATGATCTTTGATTTATTGTATTCTTTCATGTCGCGACGATAATTTAATTGCCAAAAAGACAGGAAATATGCTTAATTTTGCCAAGTCTTAGCTGTAAAGAGGCCTTAGCTGTAGCCTTGGTTGTAGAAAATCTCTACGGCCTTAGCTGTAGTTTTGCCAAGCCGCAGTTAGTTATATATCCGCAGTTAGTTATATACTTAAACTGTGTTTTGTTCAATGCGAAAGTGCCTGACAGTATCTGTGTTTTTATGAGAACATCGATGATGCGGTTTTGCAGAAACGGAAAGGCGCTGCTTATCGAATAATTAAATCTGAATGATGAGGATTTCACTTAGCTGTAGTAGCTGCAATATTCCTACGTTGTTGTAAGTCAGCCGAGTTTTCTGTTTGGCATCTCAAGAAGTAAAAAAAATAAAAACGCCGAATTTTGAATTTTCAGTAACAGAAAAAATGAATTTTGGTTAAGGGATGAAACACAGACTGCATCCTAACATGTCTTCTTACACATGACACTTGGTCCAATACATTCTGTTCTATTATTCCAAGCGCTTTCGCAGTAACTAAGTTTTTATTTTTCACCAACTTTTTGATGAATTTTGCATGCGTATTTTTTCTTTCGTTTTGTGATTTAAAAATTATTCCACATCACAGTTTAGATAATTAAGGAAGCGATAAAACCTTCCAGTTGTTAGTTGTTAAGTCCTCACGTGGTTCTTGACTGCAGCAGCAGAAGACAGGGAAGAATACCAGCATTTTATTCTTCCAACAAGAACTTCGCTTCAAATAAAACGACAAGTGAAACGATGCATAAAACGACGAGCTGGGGCGTCGCACAAGCTGTTCAGCAGAAGGAGAACGCTGGTGGTATTGAAGCGAGATGCTAGTAGCGTTAGTAGTGGAAGAACTTAGCGGACGAACGGCGTTTGTTGACTTCCCAGAACTAAGGGCCTGGGTTTTAGAAAGGGGTTTATATAGGCAAAATTAATGGAGGAAAAAGGAGGGCAAGTTAGTGAGTGAGTGGGAGGGTTGGTATTATGAAATTATTTAGAATTTGGTGGAACTGTTAGAAATTAGTGAATGGAGCGAAATAGGTCGAAGTTTTAAGGATTAGTGAGAGGAGGGAAATAGGTGGAATTATAGAGTTACATAGTTTAATATTGAACGAGTACAGTCAGCTTTATCGATTTTTCATTTCTCATTCTCGGCTCATGATCATCTCGGTTATTCGTCCTCCTTACACTTCCTCAACAAAAGGCCTCTTGCTTAACTAGCTACGTTAATACAGCATAAAAAAATTTTCAAATGGAGAAAGGTAAAGTGCTGTTAAAAAAAAAACTATTTTAATGATATGGGTTCGCGCGTCTACATTTTTCGTTGTTTGGAAAATCGTTCTTTTTCTTCTAGGGTGCGGTATGGTGTATGAAATTTTCGTTATGTGGACGATTGCTGGCGACAGCGGGCCAAGATAATATAATAAGGGTTTGGGTACTTCGCAATCACTTATCGTACTTCAATACGCTACGTGATCGTTACAATTTGAAATCCAAAAAAAGCACGATATCGATGGATGAAAATTTGATGCAAAATCAAATGCAGGATATTGAAAGTGATTTATGCTCATCCGCAACGGTATTTTCATTATTTCACTTTCTCATGCGCCTGAATAATGTGGGTGCTTAAGAATATCCGGTGTGAAGTGCCGCCAGGGGAGCCTATTTTGTTGGTGGACGACGTGCATACTTTGGTGGTGGTAATTTATATAGATATTTCAGTTAGCCCCCATCTCATGTTGTAATTTATTAAGTATGGTACAGGAAAAGATCAGCTATAGTTTAAATTTTTGCATATTTTGACGTTTTTCCCGTTATATTTAGACGCATAATATCTCGATTTATCTCACATTGTGTAGCACATAGGCCTAGACTCAACTTCTGAGTTATGGCTTATAGAGAAACGAAGTTGATGAGCTCTTCAGGTTTGAAGAAGCTGTTAGAAGTATTAGGAGGTTATGCAGACTGGATATTTGCAGGACTGCCGTTTAAATACTCATACAAAGTAGAGAGATTTTATAGGTAAAAATAAATGCCCAGCGCACCGACTGCCGATGCGAAGATGCATAGTTCCTCGCAGGTTTTTGTCGCTAGCGGCTCTGATTTTTCTTCTCTGGTAGATGCTTCTAACTAAAAGAATTGGGACTGGCTGACCAGAACTGTCAGGAAACATCCCCTTAAAATTTAGCATTCTAGCTTTCTTGGTTCCCGAATTTAATATATTAACTTACCTGCAAGTAACTCTGATTGACCCGTACGTGAGAACCGGTCGTGCAACTGGGGGCAAAGTTTGAAGTCACTGGGTTCTGCATGGATCGGGAACATCCCCTTAAAATTCCAGTATTCTACCTTTTCATGTTCCGGAGTCAGTAACTTACCCGCAAAAACTTTCACGATTCCGAACGTGGAAGCCACACATACCTGAGGACAGAGTTGGAACTCATTAAGACATACATAGACGGGAAACATCCCTTAAAATTTCAGCTTTCTAGCTTTTCTGATTTCCAGTTAGCAGCTTACCCGCCAAAAACTTTGGCAGGCCAGTACGAGGAAATCACTTGGGTAAGAGTCTCTATTTTGGGGGTTGGGTTAACTTCTGTAGATTCGTGTAGATTAACTTCTCAAAGCTTCAGCCCTGTAGCTTCTCTAGGTCTCGAGATGAAAAATCGGTACAGATGCACACACAGGCATACACACACAGACGTCTCCTCGACAGTATGCGTTTTTGTATTGCATAGATGCAAAAAACGCGTAAAAAATTGTTGGGAGAGAAGCTTAAGAACCGATGCTGTGGTGAATAATGCTCTATGTTTCGAGAGATCGTGAAATAATGAAGATGAGGAGTTGAGATCTTTCTCAGCTCGTATTTTTTGCAGCTGTGCCTTAGTATAGTAAAATAACCAGCATTTATGTTTTGTAATGTTTGTTTTTAAAAAGCCGGCAGGCATGATGCAGAGAGGTAATACTGTTGTATTGGTCGGAGGATAAATTCCGTCGCTGGAACAACCAATCCCTCTACGATCCGTTTCGATGGTAAATTGGTACTTGCATATGCTTAGGAGTCAAACCCGCCATCAGCTTGCTTGTAAGCAACCCTTAGAAGAGGAGGAAGCCATCAGCAGTCTTGCCAGCGGATGATTGCTGTTGACATTTGCTACCACTCGGACTACTTCTCGAATGCCTCCGCCTCTCACTGAGAGCGAAATACAGAAAATGTTTTTGGCCTTTTAATTTTCAATGCACAGCTGTGGTACCGTAGCATTATGCTTCTATGTGAAAGCTGTTTCAGATTGGTGGAAGTGCCGGATCGTCCTCGTCACGTGACGATGAAAGTACCACAGAAACTGCATCACTGATTGCTCCGAAACCATTGTGTACCTACAGAGGCCATACTGCCGATGTGCTGGATTTGTCCTGGTCACGCAACTACTTCATCCTCTCATCTGGTATGGATCGCACAGTAAAACTGTGGCATCTTTCACGTCCCGAATGCCTCTGTTGCTTTCAGCACATGGATTTTGTCACATGCATCGCTTTCATGCCAAAGGTTTGCACTGCTTTGATTCTTCGATTGAGTACTGTCTGTACCGCTGTACTGTTCCGCCTCGTTTTTGATGCAACTCGAAAAATTTCCTCATTTTTTTTTTTTCGGTTCTGAGTTCATTACCTCTACGTAATTCAGTGATAGAGTTCTGCAATTGCGTCTTTTTTTTTCCCAAAGTTCATCTATTTATGAGGATGCCGTTTAACGTGATGTCAGGGAATGCCGTCGTACGATCATCCATCCTGACCATATAGCAAGCCTAGCCCTTGTTTCCTGCACGAATTTGTACTAAAAAAAATGCTTAGGATTCGGAATTGTTGAATGAATGAATGGATCGTCGTGAGATCACGAAAAGAGGAAATGAAATAGGTTGTGAAACGCATATGCGTATTTTAAAAAGTTAAGAAGATGTAGGGAGGACATGTGCGGAAGCTAATTGTGAAACTGGCTGTCTGTGTTTCATCCCTAAGCTGCAAACACAGACAGTTTATGGTGTGGATTGGGGTGGGAATCATCAATGCAGCCCCCAAACCACCATTTGGAAATTTAGATAACATGGATGCATGGTAAGAGAAGAGCAAAGGAAAGAAAGAAGATAGAGAAGAATAGATGGTGGAAGGATAAAGAAATGAGGGGAGAGGGATGTTTTAAGGAAATAAGGAATAGCTATATAACATAAGCATGCATAGAAAACTGACATGTGTTACGTAATTGACCACCTTTGTGCGTTTCGCAGGGGGCTTGGGTTGCGATGACATACTGAAATGTTAAGTTAATGAAGCTCAAAATAGAGAATGAAGAAAATGCCAGCTGCAACAGTAAAGTGAAAAAATGCGGCAGTGAAACAGATAC